CCCCACCCCCACCCCGCCCTGCGCCCCCTGGCGGCCGCCTCTCGTGGGGCAGCGCCCACGTGTGCGGGGACTCACGCTATGGCGTTTATAATCTGGGATTTTTTTTTTTTTTTTTAAGCACAATTAAAAAAAGAACACTGTTTTTTTTTAAAAAAGAACATCATCCATTTGGAAAAGGATAGCGAGAATGGCTGCACAACTTGAAGAATGTAATCAATGTTACAGAATTGTACATATAGAAATGGTTGAGATGACATACGTGTTGTTACGTATTTTTTCAGCACAATAAAGTAAAGAATATCATTAAGAAAGTGAAAAAACAACCTACGGGATGGGCGAAAATATTTGCAAGTCATATCTGATAAGGGACTTGTATCTGGAATATATAAAGAATTCTTACAACTCAATAATAAAGAGACAACCCAATTTAAAAAGGGGCAAAAGATTTGAATAGACATTTCTCCAAAGAAGATAGACAGATGGCCAATAAGCACGTGAAAAGATGCTTAACGTCATTAGCCATCAGAGAAATGCAAATTAAAACCACAATGAGATACAACATCACACCCACTAAGACGGCTAGAATAAGAAAAAACAAAACAAAACAAAAAACCCCAGAAACTAACAAGTGTTGACAGCCATGTGGAGAAATTGGAACCCTAGTGCATTGCTGGTGGAATGTAAAATGGTTTAGCTGCTGTGGAAACAGTCTGGCAGTTCCTCAAATGGTTAAACAGAACTACCATTGGAGCCAGCAATTCCACTTATAGGTATTTACCCAAGAGAAAAGAAAATGTATGTCCACACAAAAATGTATACGAGAATGTTCATAGCAGCATTATTCACAGCAGCCAAAAGTAGAAACCTCCCAATTGTCCATTAACTGATGAATGGATAAGAAATGTGGTCCATCCATACAATGGAATATTGTTCGCCACAGAAAGGAATGAAGCGCTGATACATGCTACAGCATGAAAGAACCTAGAAAACATGCTGAGTGAAAAAAGCCAATCACAAAAGAACACAAATCATATGATCCTATTTATATGAAATTTCTAAGAAGTCAAATCTCTAGAGCCAGAAAGTAAAGCAGTGGTTGCGTGGGCATTAGGGCAGGGGAGGTTGAGGCGAAACGGGGAGTGATTGATAATGGGTTGTTGTTGCTGTTAGGTGCCCTCGAGTCACTTCCAACTCATAGTGACCCTATGTACAACTGAACGAAACACTGCCCAATCTTTCGCCATCCCCATAATCATTGCTATGTTTGAGCCCATTGTTGCAGCCACTGTGTCAATCCATCTTGTTGAGGGTCTCGTTCTTTTTCACTGACCCTCTGCTTTACCAAGCATGATGTCCTTCTCCAGGGACTGGTCCCTCCTGATAACATGTCCAAAGTATGTGAGATGAAATCTTGCCATCTTTGCTTCTGCGGAGCATTCTGGCCGTACTTCTTCCAAGATAGATTTGTTCCTTCCTCTGGCAGTCCATGGTATACTCAATATTCTTCGCCAACACCATAATTCAAAGGAGTCAGTTCTTTGGTCTTCCTCATTCATTGTGCAGCTTTCCCATGCATATGAGGCAATTGAAAACACTACGGCTTGGGTCAAGTGCAACTTAGAAGTGACATCTTTGCTTTTTAAAACTTTAAAGAGGTCTTTTGCAGCAGATTTGCCCATGCAGCGTGTCATTTGACTTCTTGACTGCTGCTTCCATGGCTGTTGATTGTGGATCCAAGTAAAATGAAATCCTTGACAACTTCAATCTTTTCTCCATTTATCATGATGTTGCTTATTGGTCCAGTTGTGAGGATTTTTGTTTTCTTATGTTGAGGTGTAATCCATACTGAAGGCTGTAGTCTTTGACCTTCATCAATAAGTGCTTCAAGTCCTCTTCACTTTCAGCAAGCAAAGCTGTGTCATCTGCATAACGCAGGTTGTTAATGAGTCTTCCTCCAATCCTGATGCTGTGTTCTTCACATAGTCCAGTTTCTCAGATTGTTTGCTCAGCATACAAATTGAATAAGTATGGTAAAATGTTACAACCCTGAAGCACACCTTTCCTGATTTTACACCATGCAGTATCCCCTTGTTCTATTCGAACAACTGCCTCTTGGTCTATGTACAGGTTCCGCAAAAGCACAGTTAAGTGTTCTGGAATTTCCATTCTTTGCAATGTTATTCATAATTTGTTATGATCCACACAGTCGAATGCCTATGCATAGTCAATAAAACACAGGTAAACATCTTTCTGGTATTCTCTGCTTTCAGCCAAGATTGATCTAACATTAGCAATGATATCCCTGGTTCCACATCCTCTTCTAAATCCAGCTTGAACTTCTGGCAGTTCCCTGTCAATGTACTGCTGAAACCACTTTTGAATTATCTTCAGCAAAATATTATCAGTGTGTGATGTTAATGATATTGTTCAATAATTTCCACATTCTGTTGGATCACTTTTCTTTGGAATGGGATCTCTTCCAGTGGTTTGGCCAGGTTAAAAAAAGCAAACCAAACCCCTTGCCGTTGAGTCGATTCCGATTCATAGTGACCCTATAGCTGTCTTCCAAATTTCTTGGCATAGACAGGTGAGCACTTACAGCGTTGCATAGGTTTGCTGAAACATCTCAACTTGTATTCTATCAATTCCTGGAGCCTTGTTTTTTGGCCAATGCCTTCAGTGCAGCTTGGACTTCTTTCTTCAGTACCATTGGTTCTTGATCATGATTTAGGAGATTAAAATTGGAGCCATTATTTCCTGTCCTTGAGTATAAAGAATGTGACCCAGCTGGAGCTGGACCCACAAGGACACATCAACTGGGCCCTGAGGTGTAAAGATAATAGCTAGGACAATCTTGGAAAACATCTTTTAGGGAAACTTTCACATAAGCAAATCATAAACAGCGCAAAAGACCCACATATATTCCATTGTTATCACTTTTTATTAGTGTTTAGCAGTTAGTAAGATTTGTTGGACCAGTGGAGACCCTCCTAATGTCATTACTAAAACCTGTACCAATGATTACTAAGAGACGATCCTAAACGCAGAATCATGGTGATTTAGCAGTTTTTACCCAGTTTGTGAAAAGGTGAAGCTTTCAATGATTTCGTCCATTTTTTAATGTTAATATATACTGATGATTCTGTAACTTTCCTCAGTCTCTGATAGACATGGCTCTGGCAGCATGCTTGTCCATTTTCCCGCTTTTGACTGTTCTGTAATGTTTCTTGGACTGGAACAGACATGGCTCTGGCAGCATGCTTGTCTGTTTCCTTCTTTTGCCTCTTGGAACGTATGCCGAGTAAAAGCTTTCTTTTTGCTTTATCATGACTTTGTGGTGATTTTACCCTAGGACAATCACGCCACCTCCTGAAATGGTTGAACATGACTAATTCTTTTTGGTACAGTGACTCTGTGTATTCCTTCCATTTTCTTTTGATGCTTCCTGCGTCTTTCAATATAATGGGTACAGGTTTCTATCTGGGGTGATGAAAACATTCTAAAATTGACTATGGTAATGGTGGGACAACTCTGAATGTACTATCAACCATTAAATTGTGCACTTTAAATGGCTGAATGGTATGCTATGTGAATTATATCTCAATAAAGCTGTCAAGAAAAAGAAAAAACAGAACATACTGTACTGCCAGTCCGTGCAGGGTGGGTGGGCAGCGTCAACCTGCTTTAATTGTGCCCCTTGGTCCACACATCCGCCCTGCCCCGGCTACTGGGCTGCATGAGGGCTCACGACCCACGCCCCGGCTGAGCGTTTCCCGTGCACCAGAAGGGGCATCTGCGCCCAGTAGGCCTACACCGCGTGCCTTGGGTGCGGGGTGGTGGCCAGGCGATCCCTCGGAGTCCACCGCCGCCGCGCAGCCCCGGGCTAGGGGGGTGTTAAAGGCTGGGGGGGGGTGGGGATTGGGCGGGGGCTAGGGCGGGGCCTGAGTGGTCTTGGGCGGAGTCTGGGCAGGGCTTGAGGTGGCTCTGGGCGGGGCCCCTGGCCTAAGTGCGCTCCGGACGAGGGGGCCCTGGGCGTGGCTTGAGTGGGTTCTGGGCGGGGCCCGGGGCGGAGTCAGGGCGGGGCCTGAGTAGGTTCCAGGCAGGGGTCGGGTAGTGGAAGGCCTGTCCGGAGTTTGGGCGGGGCCGGGACCTGTGCCTCAGCCAGGCCTGGAAGGGGCGCGAGCCTGGGTGGGGCGGGGCCTAGGGGCAGCCAGTCAGGACACCACCCCTTGACGAGTTCAAAGCTGCCCCCAGTCGAGGCCTCTGGGGCTGCCGGCTCCGCCCCCTCCCCGTCCCGCCCCGCCCCCGCCGGCCCGGCCACGCCCACCGCTATCAGCTGCGCGGTGGCGAGCCTCTCCAGGCCTCAGTTTCCGCCTCCGGGAAAGGGGCCACCAACGAGCTCTCGGGAAGGGGGTCCGGCCCTGGCACTCGGTGTTCAGCGGTCATTAGTTGAACACCTACTAGCATCAGGCACGGGGTACAGAACCGGACGGGGCACGGTTCCCTGCTCCAGGAGCCACAGCTGAAGAATCAGATCATACCCAGGAAAAGGAGTCGCGGCTTATCGCTGAAGGAGGCACCGAAGAGAAGACGCCCCCGGGGCCCAGGGGCGGCAAGACTTCACAGGGCACAGGGACACCGGAAGCTG